AAAATAATCGAGACTGAAAATATTACAATAATTGTAGTATTTGATTTCAAACAATTTGAGCTTCAAGCTTGATCTTGAATTTATGCTTGTTTTCACAAACGATGATCTTGAATTCAACTAGCACGAATTTTGATTTGAACTCATACTCCTTGAACCTTAATTTGTTCTTCGGTCTTGAGCTTGAACCTGATTGCTTAAAGCTTGAAGCTCGTAGAGAATTTTACGGCGTTTGATCCACGAGCTCTCTCTTGCTTCTTGTTATGACTTCTGGTGTCTTTTCTGAGTTATGACTACCCCTATTTATAGTTGTGGAAGAGAAGAGTTGTGATGAGAACAAATCTTTCCGACCAATCAGATTGAAGTGTGACAAGTCCGCATTTGATTGGTCAGAACATGTCACTTGCATATGTGGCACGATTTTATTGGCCTTTTAATTTGACTTGACGTGCCTTGTCGTTTTGACACGTGGCATGATCCCATTAGCTCCTCCATTTGACTTTTGGTGCCACGTGGCACCAAACTGGGCCTCTAGGAAGATAACATCTTGAGTCTAATGAAGTGGGTTCGTCAGCTTGTAGGCCAATTAAATGGGTTAGCCCAATGCATTTGGACCTATTTATTGGATTTGAATAATTAATCAAATTATATAAAACCATGATATTTGTTTGGACCGAAATATATTTAATTGAGATTAAATCCAATTTTCTTATGAATTTAAATTCAATAAAATTTTAATTGCCTACAATAGTTGTTGGCCGACGGCTAATCTTTGGAAAATAGTCGTTGGCAACGGTAATAAAACGACAAACTTTAGCCCCCCAACCCCCCAAAATAACCCTTACCCCCTCAAACTTTTATATTAACCTTCAAGTTTATTAAATTACACCTTATCCCTACTTTTAACTGTAAATACCCTCCCTCCTTTATTATTTCTTACAATTCTCTAGTTCTAACATTTTCTCTCTTTATCATTCTATCTTCATCATTCTCTCTATTTTTCCACAATCATCTAAGTTTCAAGTACTTGGGCAAAATATTTGGAGCAAGTTTCAAACTGCTAAACTAATTCTTCAAGTATTTAGAGCAAATATTTAGACAAATTTTTTAAGTTTTAATATTTATTTACGGTGCGCTCGTTCCATTTCTTAATTTTTGTATTTAATTTTTGTGTTTAATTTTCATGTCTAATTCTTATATTTAAATTATGGCTCCTACAAAGGTATTAGGCATACCCAAAATATATTTTTTTTTAAAGTAATAAATGTGCTAGTTCTAATAGTAATCCTAATCCTTTTGCTAAAACTAGAAAACGCATAGAGGATTGTACCCATGTTGAAGAAACTTCCTTAAGCATATCACCTGACTTTTATTATATTATTTCAGAGGAGCCACTAGATAATGAAACTTTAAAAAAATAATTTGGCTATGTTTTGGTATTAATGAGGATGAAGAAAATGAAGAAGATATATTAGATAAAATACCCATTAGTCCAGTTTTAGAAACTCTAACTGAGACTCAATCTCGGTCTGGAGCTTTACCTCCTACTAGAGGTAAGGTAACGGCAACGCGTCAGAGAACATCATATGTATGGAAGTTTTTAAATTTTGATAAATATGCATGTCTTGCACTTGTTCTAAATGTAAATTACCATTTGCATATGGAACGGATGAAAAAGCGCAGGGGGGGGGGGTAAGGAGACACTTGAAAACTAAACACAAAATTATATGGATACAAGCTGAAATAGATGCTGGAGAGATACCGGATCCTAGCGGCACTTTTGGCGCTCCTACTGGAGCTGGCAGGGATTTTAATTATGTTCAACAATAATTTAACCCTACTAGTGGTCGTTTACAACGTCCCTATAACATAGATAGAGATAGCGAAAACGTAGCAAAATGATCGCTATCTATGGCTTACCTTTTACTTTTCCTTCTCACCTCGCTTTTGTGCATTATATACAAGAGTCACATAATCCTGCTTTTCAAGATTTTTCTAAAACCGCATTTAGAAATGATATTTTTAAATTTCAGAATGACTATCTTTAGTATATACGTTGTGTTATCACTTAGATTGTAAAATGTCTATCACTTCTGATATATGTCATAGTCCTAATGGCAATGACTATTTAACTGTTACATGTCATTGAATTGATCATAACTGAAATATGCAAAAACGTATGATTGGTTATAAAATTCATTGATTCAGAATACACTAGAGCATATATTGTTGCTATTGTTCTAGACATTGTTCAATTTTGTGGTTTTACTGATAAAGTTGTAACTATCATATTAAATAATGCTTATGCTAATACCACTGCAGCAAAAAAATTAAAAATTAGAATTTGTCCACTTTATGACTCAATTTTTCATGTTAGTTGCGCGTGCCATATTTTTAATTTGGTTGTAAAAAATGGTATTGATTTATTTACTACTTCTTGTGCTAAAATACAATATGATTGCGCCTATATTTTCCGTGCTAATAAAGCGAGTAGGATTCGTGAATTTAAAGAGCAGTGTATCTATGTTGATCTTCCATATAGAAAAATTTTAAAAGATATTTGTACTAGGTGAAATTCTACTTAAGAAATGTCAAAAGTTGCTTATGTCTATCGGTGTCTATACAAATGGTATTTAATGCATATAATGCTAACCTTGATGATCAAATTGTCGATTCTGATTGAGAAGAAATTCATGAGCTTATTAAATTTTTAAAAAAAATTTATTATGCTACAAAATAATTTTCTAGTATACATTATCCTACTATTATACAAATATTATGGTATATTTGTAGAATTCAAGTTGTATTTGCTAAGTATAAAAAGATAGATGCATATGAACAGTTGTTGAAGAAATAATTTTAAAACTTAAATAGTATTTTTTTTTCCTATTCCCGCCATTTATTTGGTTTCTACTATATTTAACCCATCTTAAAATTACGAGGTGCAAAAGGACTTGTTCATAACTGAAATGCCAATTGTCGAAGAATGTCAAGCTAACATATATATATATNGTACATCCTCCTATAACTTCTAAGGCTAGACTAGAAGATGAAGTGGGGGAAGGTATGGAAGAGTTAATAGGTCTTGATTCAAGTGGTATTGAAAATGAACTTAATGCTTATCTTAATCAAGGATTGGAATCTATTAAAGACGAAGAAAGCAAGGAGCGACTTTTAGCATGGTAGAGGGGGCGTGGCATGTCATTTCCAATGCTTTCAAGAATAATTCGAGATGTACTGGCTATTGAAGCATCATCAGTAGCTTCAAAGAGTATTTTTTAGCACCTCACAATTTCAAATCGGAGACCATATATATTTATTAGTAGAGGACAACCTAGAGGTTTTCTCTTATTCAGAGATTGAATCAATGCAGAAAAAAGAAAATTTGGATTTAAAAAATTAACCACTAAGGAAAAAGATAATGCAATGAGATACCTTGCACTGGAAGCGATGACGGCATGGAGCTCAGGAACATTTAGCTACATTGAGCTTCATGTTGATATTATACGAAAGTTAGGAAAAAGCTATATAGGATAGTATAGATAGTAGTATGATAATTTATCATTAGCTACTTACGGATCTAATTCAAGCAGAACCCTTCCTAGAAAGTAGTTGTGTATATTAGGTTCTTTTCTTCGTGTGCTCTTCAAAAGACTTGTATTTGTGTTTGAAGTTTGAAATTTCTATTAAATAAACTAAAAGGATTTACCCTTATTTATTTTTTAAGAATTATCTTACTTAGTTACTTCTTACTTGGGATTATATTAAATAAATTACAAGTCTTTTCTTTTTATAAGTACTTAGAAAAATCATATTTACTAAAATATTTTGCTACAAGTCTTTTCTTTTTATAATTTATGGCAAAGGGCCAAATATACCCGTGTACTATGAGAAAAGGTTTAAACAAATCATTCATTATACTTTGGGTCCAAATATATCCATACCGTAATACTATTTGTTCAAATATACACTTCTTACGTTAAGTTTGTCCAAGGTGGACATCCAATCTTATGTGACACTGATATTTGATGAGGTGGATGCCACATGGCATGCCACCTCTACGCCTCTAATCCATATATAAAAGACTAAAATTTGAAATACAATAATTTTTATGGTAGAGGTAATGGTGTCAATAGTGGCAGAGGGGAAGAAAATTTTAGTGGTGAAAAAAATAGAAGGGAGGGGTAAAATGAGTTAGGGGCACCACCTCATCAAATATCAGTGTCATATAGGATTGGATGTCCACTTTGGACAAACTTAACGGGAAAAAAATATATTTAAACCAATAGTATAACGACAGGGGATATATGGACTCAAAGTATAACGATGAGAACATTTAAATCTTTTCTGATAGTACATGGGTATATTTGGCCCTTTTCCGTATAAATTATAATTTCATATTTATCTTCTTTATAATTTATTAAGTTTGAAGTTTTTTTTAAAACTAGCTGTAGCCAATTTTAATTTTTTAAAATAATTTTTAGTACTTAAATATTTAAATTAAGAAAAATCAAAAAAATTCCACTAAGGGTCTCCGTCCCGTTAGTGGTATGGGATGAGCCTAGAGGGACGTCCCGATTATCCCAATCCGATTAAGGCCCGATCTCCCTAGTCTCAGTAACTTTTCGTCTCATCCCACTAAAATTATCCTGTCCCATCCCTAGTCTAGGTTGATGCTAAACTAGACTGTAAGGCCTAATGGAGTCAGATTATCTTTATCACCACGGGTTTCAAAATTGCAACTTTTTATGAACGCCGGTAAGATAACTAAAAATAGAAGAAAGGCAAATAAAGAAAAAGTTCTTTTTTTTTCGTAGGAGCAAGGGGAAAGTGGAAATTTGGAAGGGAATTATAAGGTAGGGAATAGAACTCCCACCAACACGGTAGAAAGTTCATATAGCCAACTAACAAGGTGTAAAGTAGTAGAATTGAGTTCAAGCTTAGTTGTTTGCAAAATAACTGTACCTAGTAACCACTGCGACACCATGACTACAACGGCAAAATCTGTACAATATTATCCATTAGATAGACAAAGAGAATGTGCATTTGGTACCTCTACATTAGATACATTTTTTAAAAATAAGTACCTCTAGGTCCAAAGGGAAACCAAAAAGAAAACTCTACCAAATTCAAATAATTTTGAATTCCCCCCAAAATAGCAGAATGCTCTTCCCGCATCACTTCAGAGTTGACAAGCTGCAGCCAGTCAATCTTATGTCAGTTTTCGCTTTCCTTTCCGGTCAGCAGCAGCTCCTTGGCAATTGTCACTTTCTGGGGATTCTTCAACAACAGTCTGCTCCTGAAAAACCAGACCCCGATTCCTAGTCAATTTCCTTATTGGTGTAGTTGGCACAGGTCGTTCAGTTGCTTCAGAGGTTGATGCTGTTGGTATCGCAGCTTCAGTTCTGAGTGGCATTAATTCTTCTCCAGCATTAACTGACCCCAACATAAGCTGCATATGACGTAACAAATTTAGAGTGGCAGATCACATATCATGCGATTGAAAAGTTCAAGAATGAGTATCAAGACTGTACTATTCTTATCCTTGTATACAAAACAGCTGCTTCGGAAAAAAGCAAAATTGTTATTCATTCCACATTGATATGACGAAGAAAATTATATGACAATATTGTTTATACTGAGCATTACTTTTTGACCCTATCACTCATACACCTATTTTGTAATATTATGCAAATGCAACAATGTCATTAGTAAACTTCTTGAAGACTATTTTTGTTAGATAACCAAGCCGTTTTAATCTTTGGCAATAAACCATAAAGCCGTTACAACTTTGGTCCTCAGTGAGTTGTGCAGGATACACATTTTCTAGTCGAAGATAGTGAACCGCTTGAGTGGTAATAACAAGTCAAATCATTGAGAAGGCATTAGAAACCAATACTACGTCATGCATATAGTCTTTAGGATTTAAGAGATTATGTATAGATACCTTCCAATCCTGAAAGTCAAATCTAAAGACGAAGTGGCTGTAAGAAACCTCCCCAGAAAGGACTGCATTAGCAGCGGGACCATTCCTTGGTGCTGCAGTAAAACTTAATACTCTAGTCAGAGGAAATAAGCAGAGGTAAAATGATTTTGAGAAATAAATGGACATGGTAAACTTACAAACTAGATGACAGCCTTTTTCATCAATGGTAATATCAGCTCGCCCATCTTTAATTAGAAATGATAGGGCAAATAAATTTTCAACTGTCTGTGCAAAGCACTTTCTGTTCAGTATTAAGTTTTCAAGCCTGACAGTCTTGTGCTTCCTCAGAATTTGAAACATTGTAGCCATGTTCTTGTCAGTGTCTGTCTTCTCCTCATCAACAGTTTCTTCAAGCTGAAACATATCACAACAAATCAAAATGCGATTGACATCAAAATTAAAATTAGCAATAAAATTTTTTGGTTAGTTGTTAGTGGGTTTAGAGAAGCTGAAAGAAAAATGACTGCAACTTGCATGAGAAAAAAAAGAGAGAGGAAACAAGACTGCAAATGCAGAAACGATCTAGCTACCAGATGTACCGTTCTAGTAAAATGCTAAAAATATTATGGGCATTCACCAAATATTCATGGACTTAAAGGTCTCAAATATTCAAAAAGAACCTTGTTGGAGACAAAATTACGTTGTATATTCTAGCTTGAAGTATATACCATCTTTTGATAAAGGCACCTAAGGTGAATTCCCCAAAGCTAAAGTTTTCCATTCTATATATGGAAGCGCACAGAGGGGCATGTAAGTCATACCTCCTCAGGGCGTTCACGTTCTGTTGGCCTCATACGCTTTCTGTGAACGACAGTCTTGCGTTGCTTCACTTCAGTATTCATAGGCCCTATCCTGTAAAACGTTCAATATTCACATCTGTTTTGTTATACAAAATGGTGGGAAACAAGGGAGAAGAGAGAGGATTCAGCACCTACATTGTACAGCAACAAGGAGCACTCCTGAAAACATGAGAGACTACACAGCCGATGTACTTCCAGCAGATTGAGTCCCTATCCTCTCCTGTTATACTGCTAGATCCACCTTCTTGACCAAAGTCCCTTAGTAGGCAACTAACAAAATCTGAAGGAGTCACTCCTTCATTACCATGGGCCTTCACCGAAGTCACCAGCGTGTTCGTGATGTCCAACAGGGCTTCTGCATCCGCAACTTGTTCCCTAGGTTTTTGTACTGTATGTCAACCAGTGAAAATACAACCCAATAAGTGAAGACAGAACATTCGATCATCAATTTTCTAAATAAAGCATCTTGGTATGCCCCAAAAACGTAGCTTAACTGTTGTGATCCTCGGCAAACTAATAGCCTATTTGGTCAAGCTTTTTTTGGGCCAAAAGTGCTTTTTTTCTTTTGGCCAAGCTTTTAGATGAAAAAAAAGTGTTTTTGAGGAGAAGTAGAAGCAATTTTTGAAAAGCAGAAAAAAGTAGTTTCTCTCCAAAAGCACTTTTCTGAGAAGCATTTTTGAAAAAAATACACTTAGAAATAGTTTTCAAAAGCTTGGCCAAACACTAATTAGTGTTCAAAAGTGCTTTTCAAATTAATTATCCAAACATAAACTGCTTCTCACCAAAAGCACTTTTTTGAAAAGTACTTTTGAGAAAAGCATTTCTCAAAATAAGCTAATTTTAGAAGCTTGGCCAAACAGGTTATAAATAACATCCAAAATGTTGGACAATAAACTATTATCAAGCTAGAACCATTCAGACTCGGAGTTCGAAGGAAATAGTCAAAAGGTCCGTCGGATCTGCTTGCTAAAAACAGGAACATATTTTGCAAACAGTCATCTTTATCTCAGATATTTTAGGAAGCAGAGTAATTTAATTTGTTGTCGTACTCAGACAGGAAAAGATGCAAAATACATGAAACTGAATCTTGGGGGATAGGGAAGCACAAGTTGAGCTCTCTAATCACTTAGAATAAATTTTAATTATTTTCATACAAAATTATTAGATTTTTTTTACGTGCTCAAAAAAACCATGGATACAATACAAGACTTTTATTTGATGAGACACCACCAGACTTGAATCCCCAACATTTCAACACAAATAAGAAGAAAAAAAACCGAACGAGAATTAGAGAATCATAATATCAATCCCAGGAGGATGCAAGAAATTTTTCCATAGATAATTCTTCATCCGAAAAGACCACGACTTCTAGGCACCTTGGTAGACATAACCAAAACCTTTGCTGAACTCTCCAAAAACAGAGTGGGCTACGTTAGGGAGGAGGGAGCACCCAATTCACAAGTGACAATACGACATAAGCATGCATCTCTTCACATGCAAAAAATTTAACTAGAGATAGTATCAGTACACCAGAAAGTAAGACATTGAATCAGTACCACGCTGATGTAGTCTTTCGACTTCCTCAATTATTGACTTGAATTTATCTGAATCAACTTTTGATATATCATCTCTCTCATCTGCAAGAACGACATTAAACCAATTGCAATCCGTTATAGAATATCTGTAACCACAAAGTATAATAAAAATACGGAGTACTTTTAGCACAGAGGAGAAATTAATCAGCAACATTAGCCTCCAAAAAACATAAACATTAATCTCCTACAATTAGTAAAAATAGCTTAAGAAAAACATAGGGGAAACCAACCCTTTGCTAAGTACATAACTGAACTTCATCGAAAAATAGGAACCATTAAACTGCACATATAAATTACTCTTTGTCCCAATTTTTCATGACATTACTATTTGAACTTTTCTTTGACTATGATATTTTAATTTGTGTGTAAACATATATAATTTAAAATACTTCTTCCGTTACAATTTACATGACATTTTTCACTTTCAACATCTCAAAATGCTGAGATAATTTGATTTTTCCTACAAAATAGCATATCTTTCAATATTTAAATTCATTAAATTATTCCAGTTCTAAATTGTGACATGATGTTTTCTCTATTGAACTAACTTTCCAACAATTATATTAATACTCCATTTGTCCCAACTTACGCAGTTCCTGTATATACACATTCATATATTCACAAAATCAAGGAAAATAAGGTCACACTTTATAAACATAAAAAATTAAAAAAAAAAAACTTTGAGACTAAGGAAGAGAAATTACCAGAAATACGAGACTTAACGGAGAGATAATGAGATCGAAGAACTCTGCGTATTCCAACAGTGCCTTCGTCTGTTGATACTTCTCCATTACTCTCTGCTCCTCTATTTTGACGAATACGAGTACTAACTTTTTCGCGTTTTAGGATCGTAGTTTCTTCGGGAAGCTTTAAACGAAGTCGTCCAGCAGCTTCTACCTCTACAGAACCGTCGTTATGGCCATTGCTAGTGCTCGCCGCTACTCCGCCGCTACTTCGAGTATTCACAGGTTCACGTTTCACAATGCGAACCATAGCTTTTTCAATTAAGCATCCAAGAAGAGGAAAAAGTATTGGGAAGAAATTGACGATATGAATTTACTTTGAATTTTTGAAGAATTAGAAATAAAATCGTAAAAAATTGAGCCCTAGAAATGAAACTTTCTGGAGCCAATGTAAGAACCCTAGAAAAATTTCAATTTTTGAATGTAAGTGTTGAAGTATTAGAAACGCGCGCTCCGAGTAAGAGATTTGTTTTTTCTTTTCTAGTTTTTCTTTCTCAATGAATTTATATTGGGAGATTTCTGTTTAGCCCCTCAACTTTCTGAGGTTTGAAACAGTACCCTTAACACTTAGTAATAAATTATACAGAGAATCATCTTTGACCTCAAATCAACCAGAAAAAAAGATTAGACTAATCGCGGTCGAAACTTTCGAAAACATATAATTTAGTTACAGTAATTTAGATTAAAACATGCTTTTTCTCAACAATGAAATAGTAAGAAACTAAATTCATAAGAATTTAGAATTTCATATTTCTATTTACTCGGCCAAAATCAACCGCGACAAACCGATCGACTATCAAAAAACCGACCAAAAAACCGACCAAAGTCGATCGGTATTTTAAAATATTTTATTTTTCAATTTTTTTTTACGAAATCGACCAACTTCGATTTTGTTTTTGGCACACAAATGCGGGAATTTATTTTGGCGTCCCGCAAAATTTATTTTTTAAGAAATCAACCAACTTTGGTCGTTTTTTCATATAAAATAAATTAAAAGTAATATTCAAAAAATCGATCGAAATCTATCGGTTATTTCAGCCGGTCATCGGTAAATTTATATTTTTAATAAAACCAACCGAAATCGGTTGGTTATTTTCGCGCGAAGATGCAATTAAAGAGTACAAATAAAATAAAAGATTATCTTAAACCAAAATGTACCAAGAGTCTAGCGGTAGAATATTATCCTGCCAAAGTACATGCCCTGGTTTGATTCCCAGACGGTGCATTTTTCAATTGCATAATTAAAATACCGACCTACTTCGGTCGAAAAATATTGACCGGTCGCTATTTAGTACCGACCAATCTAATTTCGATGAATTAAAGTCGGTCGAAAATTGATCGATTTTTTCAGTTTTTCGACCAATTTCGGTCGGTATTTCTGGACGATTTTAGGCATTTTTCAGTGTCTTTACATTTCTTTTATTTGATCTTTCTCTTAAGGTGGTATTCGTGTACAACAAATTAAAAATTTACTTTAACTATCCAATTCGTCCAATATTGTGTTTTTTATATCTTTCTAATGTGCTTCACTTGATAGTGGAGGTATCAATAAAATGATGCATATAAAAAAGAAAAGCAAAACAGTTTCTCATATATTTCTGGATCTAACTTATAAAAACATTTTGATGATAATCATTTTGAATAAAAGAGAATAATACTAGTGTTAAAATAGTTAAAATTGATTATATCTGTGATTCTATAATAGTCAAAACTTTAAAACCATATGAAATTGTTAGCTCAAAGAGGTTCATTGTCTAGTTTAAAAGATAACAGGGGCATTATTTCGAGGGCCAAATTTGCTTCTGTACATTGCTTGGGTTATTTTACAAGAGATATGGGTATACTAAGATGACTTTGTTATCTCAAACAATATAAAAGTTACTTTACTGAATAATTTTTATAATAGGCTAACTTATTTAAAGTGTACCACATTTATCTTTAAAGTGTGACAAGCGTCATTTCAATTAGTAAGACATATCAAATGTTTTTTAGTTTGTATTTTTAATGTTCTCATCTCATAAGTTTCACGCAATGGTTATGTATGCATTTGATTTAGCAAGCGATAAAATAGTATGCAATTTTTCACGTGTTTCAATGTTATATTAATAATCAAGTACACAACCTTTCGTTTGTGTTTCAAAGTGTGACAAATAAGCACATAGCCTTTGCATCTATGTTTCAATGGTACAATAATAGAGTACATAGCTCTTCCTCCTATATTTTTAATTATACAATAATAGAGTAGTACATAGTTCTTCAGTCTATCTTGTTAGTGGTATGATAATAGAGTACATACCCCTTATGTTTATATTTTCAATGGTACGATTATAGAGTATATAATCCTTCTGTTTATTCTTAATGGTACGATAATAGAGTACATAACCCTTCGGTCTATATTTCCAATGGTATGATAAAAAAATACATAATCCTTACGTCTATGTTTCATTGGCATGACAATAAACCGATTCATTTTAATTCATGGTTCTCTAGCCAAATTTTTATTTTTCAATCAAGTGGTTCAATTCATTACTTTAATAAAGATCAAGAAAGAGAAATAATTATATCATTCAAAAGTAAGCCATGTATTTATATCCAACAGTGTGAAAGAAATATCTAAATATTATAACGTATTAGCGTCGAGTCGTTTAGTTCATGTAAGGAACGTCAAGCTTCTAATCATTTTCAACATTTAGTAATTTATGCCAAGTTATTCATTACTTTGATCCATGGAGTAAACTATGCAAGGTTGTCCCCGACGTGAATGAAATCGCATTGAATTAATTATTCTTTCAAAGACATGAAGTGTTTTAAAAAAACACACAAGATAATTTAAAGCTCGACATACCTCGAGGTTGCGCTGGTTAGCTAGAAGTCACGTTGGTCGTCTAAAGATACCCAATAACTTTAATCTACATATACAAACTCATATTCATCAACAATGTATCACAATAATACCAATTTAATCAACTAAGTATCCAACATTTGGGCATAATTTTCAAAGGTTCAAAAAATTCATATTCTTCCATTGAAGGCCGATTCTCAATTTTTTCAATTCGTTTATTATATATGTTATGGAGTCTAGTCGCTTCATTAAGAAGCACAAATGACATTGTTCATGCAAACGTGACAATATTCATCTTCTTTCTCAATTTAGCCCTAGCTTGAACATATAACTCATTTCAAGACTTTGCATAGAATTTTAATAAAATGGTATTTTTTACTCCACACATCCTCAAATACTTAATCCATAATTATATTTAAGAATGGGATAAAGAAATTATCTCTTCTAAACTAAGCTCTAACTTGAGTTCTTGTTAGTGTTCTTGTAATTCTTGTTGAAATCTAACTAATCCAAATATATAATGGTGTTAAATATAGGTGTTACTAACTTTAATTAATACAAAGTAAGGGTGGAAACTTACCTTGGATGGCATGGAATGAGATTTGGTTGAAAATCCAATTGGAAGAGCTCCCAGTTGAGTACAGTCAGCCAAAGAGGTATGCGTATAAGACCAAATTTTGGTCCATTAGCTGCTATATGGTGCGCCGTTTGCACTCTATTGGTTTGAGGCTACACAATGCGTCCCTTGCTCCATTTAAATTGGAGTAATTTTGTTAAGGATCCCCGGCAAAGATTAGCCTTTTGTTATATTTACCTTCAATAATGATTGACCAATAAATACGTTGAATTTAATAGATATGCCATAATACCTATGAAGGTGATAGACTAAATACTAAGCATCTCTTTTCTTTTTTTTATTCCATCTTCCTTATTCAACATAATTAAATATTTACACCGTTCATGATCTCGAACCATGTTGTTATGTATTAACTTGTGTGACAAATATTTTTCTTGTTCATCGTCGTTGTTGGCACGCAAGTTGATATTTTCAGCATTACTAGTGCACTTTAAAGTAGTAAAGCTTAGCTAAATTTTTAGGAGAGCTACATTTGCCCCTATTTAGGATTATTCGTTCTCGAATGACGTTTATAACTTTACTACTAAAAAATACATTGTTCTAACCCAAAAAGGGACTAAAGTCTGTCAATTTCTTGATTGTTATGAAAATATTATATTGTGGATGTCCATTTATTACTCCACTATAAATAATTTTCCTGAAGAAGATTATCCATTTAGTACTCTGTTGAAATTATCTACAAGCAGTTGATGCAGGCAGGTTGCAAGCAACTCAATGAAATGATTTGCAGCAGCTTCTTATTAAACATGCAGGTTGCAAGCAACTCAATGAAATGATTTGCAGCAGCTTCTTATTAAACAAGCATGTTGCAAGCAACTCATGCAGATAACTTACAAGCAGCTGATGCAGGCAGGTTGCAAGCAACTCAATGAAATGATTTGCAGCAGCTTCTTATTAAACATGCAGGTTGCAAGCAACTCATGCAGACAACTTACAAGCAGCTGATGCAGGCAGGTTGCAAGCAGCTCATGCACACACCTTACAAGCAGCTAAAGAAAAGCCTTGCAGCTGCTTCCTGAAATGCCTTGCAGCTGCTTCCTGAAAAGCCTTGCAGTTGCTTCCTGAAAAGCCTCGCACCTACTTCCTTTCTTCTATAAATAGAGGAGTTTTCAGTTCATTATGAACATAAGTTTGAAAGTTGAATAATATATCAGTTTCTTTCTATACTTGTCTTTACTTTATAGTCTTTATTTATAACACGTTATCAGCACGAGACTCTGTCATCTCGAGCAAATACTTTGAAAGTATCAGAGGTACGAACTTTCTTTTTCTAAATAATGTCAAATCTTTCTAAACTTGAATTTGTAGCCCTGGATATATCGGGCAAAAGCTACATGTCATGGGTGCTTGATGCCGAAATTCATCTTGATGCAATGGGTCTGGCAGACACCATCAAGGACAAAAATCAGGCATCAAACCAAGACCGTGCCAAAGCAATGATATTCCTACGCCATCACCTTGATGAAGGCCTGAAAATGGAATATCTTACTGTTAAAGATCCAGTATATTGTGGAATAATTTGAAAGATAGATATGACCACCTGAAATTGGTCGTTCTTCCATAGGCACGATATGATTGGACTCATTTAAGGATACAAGATTTTAAATCTATCAGTGAGTATAACTCTGCTATGTTCAGAATTATTTTCCAGTTAAAATTATGTGGTGATAATATTATTGATCATGCTATGTTGGAGAAAACTTTTACCACTTTTCATGCCTCGAATATGCTCCCGCAGCAGCAATATCGAGAGATGGGATTCAAAAAGTATTCTGAACTTATCTTACATCTTCTTGTAGTCGAGCAACATAATGGGCTATTAACGAAAAACCATGAAAGCCGACCAATTGGTTCTTATCCATTCCCTAAAGTGAATGAGACGAACTTCTACCAAGCTAAGCGTGGAAGAGGTTGTTGCCCCAGTCATGGTCATGGCCGTGGTCAGGAAAGAAACTCTAATCATGGTAATAATAATGCACCAAAGAACCCTCCTCACCA